CCCCAAAGCAGGGCACTGCGCAGCATCCAGCCTCTTTCACAAGCGGGCTGCCTCTGCGTGGGAGAAATCTCGGGCTGTCCCTGCCTGGATAAGCCGTGCACGCCCAAGTCAGAAACACTTGCAGGCAGGCTGGGCCCGTTAATTCTTGCTTCTCAGTATCTGTTTTAAAGAGGTTTGGTTTCTGGACAGCACCGAGGAGATGGCTGATTAGACCGTCTTCATAGGAAAGAAACCAGCCTTCTTCTAAGACAGGGTCACCCACCAAGATAGGCCCTACCACCCCCTGAGGGGCACTAGACAGACTCCCGTCCCCCCGAAAAAACCCTAAACTCACCACCAAGTCAATGCCGACTCCTCCCGACCCCACAGGACAGGGCAGAACTACCCCTGTGGGTTTCTGCGACTGGAGCTCTTCCCGAGAATAGAAAGCCCGTCTTTCTCCCAAGGAGAAACCCCGTCCTTCGCATTGTTACCAAGAGGGATGGGGCACACACACCAGTCATTCAAATGTAACCAAGGTCCTTCCCTTCCCCGGGAAAACGGAAACAACAATGTGTTTTAAAAGTGTCCTCTGGAGGGTGATGGCCTTGTCCCCTGGGCCCAGGAGCGGCGACGTCATTTGTAAGAAGCGTGTGACGGCCCATGCTTCCGAGCTCCTCCGGGCACAAAGGGTGCAGCGGCGACGCCAGGCCCTGGGGTTGTCCTTGCACGAGTAAGACGGACGACAACATGTGCGAAAAGCACAGCTGCCGTTTTTACAAGGCCTCGTGATTTGCTTTATGGGTTGATTAGGGAATTTAATAAAAAGACAAAACAAACAGAAGATCACCGGAAGTAGCCCCATCAGCCCAGTTCCGTGAACCCTAAAAATAAATCAAATACCACTCCTGTGAGCGTGTCTAGGGCAGCTCTGAAGACACAGAACCGATCCCGCGGCCGCTGTCGGTGCCGTGCGGTCGGTTCCCACGCACAACAGAATGGAACTGCCCAGTCCCGCACCGTCCTCCCCGACTTCACGTCTGGGCCCACTGTTGCAGCCACTGGTCTGTCTATCTCTGAGGGTCTTCCTCTTGGGCCCTGACCAAGAGGGCCTTCTGCAGAGACTGGCCCCTCCTGCTGGCACGTGTCCCCAGTATGTGAGATCGTGTCTCTCCACCCTCGATGCTGAAGAGCCAGCTGAGTGCCTCTGCTCCGCTGTACAGGAAAGGAAAACACTCTGCACAATGCCGGTCCCTGATTGCTTTTGTTTGTTTGTTTTGTTTAGTTAAGCACACGCAACACACCCAGTTGCCACATTCCATACACTCCTGACTCTTTCCCTCCTCCAGGGGCTAGAATAAAAAAAAAAACCAAACCCAGCCGGCTGCCGTCGGAATGGATGCCTGGGACTGTCCAGGGCAGAGGACGATGAATGCCTCGTAGGCGTCCACGGCTGCAACCCTCCCAGGAGCAAACTGTCCCCATCACTGTGTCACAGTGGCACGTTTCAACCACCACTCTGAGCTCTTCATCCACGGTGCCACCAGGGCTCCGAAAACCCCCAAATCAAGCCCATGGCCATCCAGTCTGTTCTCCCGGATAAAGCTCAGGAGACTCAGCTCCCCCCACACAGGTGATTCCGACTCAAAGGGACCGTATAGAACAGAGAAGAACTGCCCCTGGGGGTTTCTGAGATGCTTCTAACTCAGCGGTGCTCAACCTGTGGGTCGCGACCCCTTTGGGGTCGAACGACCCTTTCATAGGGGTCGCCCGATTCATCACAGTAGCAAAATGACAGTTATGAAGTAGCAAAAAAAATCATTTTACGGTCACTACAACATGAGGGGTCACTACAACATGAGGAACTGTATTAAAGGGTCTCGGCACTAGGAAGGTTGAGAACCACTGCCCTAACTCTTTACAGGCGTAGAAAGACTCCTCTTTCTCCCTCAGGACAACTGGGGGTTTCGAACTGCTAACCTTGTAGTTAGCAACTAAATGAGTGAGTAACTCACTATGCCACCAGGGCGCCTTCCTAACTCACAGCAACTGAATCTAGGGTTTCTTCAACTGTAAGTCTTTACAGGAGCAGACAGACAGCTTCAAATTTCTCCCTCAGGGCTGCTGGTGATTTTGAACGGGCAATCTGGCAGTTAATAGGCGTAATGCTTACCAGACAGTGCCACCAGGGCTCTGAGAGGCTATCATAAAACCCAGCCAAGCCACCGAGTCCATTCTGCCTCGTGGTGACCCTACAGGACAGAGTAGAGCGGCTCCTTAGAGCTTTCCGAGACTATAAATTGTATGGAGGCAGTCTCTTTTGCCTCTACAGCCACCCGCTAGTGGGTTTGAACCATCAACCTTTAGTTTACCGGCCCAATACTTAACCCACTGCAACACCAGCGCTCCCTGACTGGGTGGAACCCAAACCAAATCCAGTGCCATGGGCTCTATTCTGAGTGAGAGCGATTCCACACACGTCTCCCAAGCTGTTGCCCTCAGGGCCTGGAGCACCTCATCTTTCAGCCTCGGCCTGTCACCAGGCCCGAGGAGCGGACTCCGGACAAGTGAGTGAAGAAAGGGGACACTGCTGGGGGGCCAAGCCTGCATGCAACAGGAAACTAATCCTCCTCTCTCCACCTGCCTCCCGCACGCACGCCACGGCACCCTGAAAGCAGCAGACAGCCTC